TCAGAATAAATAAATAAGAAAGTAATATCATTCAGACAGCTGGGTCTATTCATTCGTCTCAATTACAAAAGCATCACCCTTTACTTTTAATGATATCTGTAAAAGTTGACAGCGACTTACTGACTACGTTACCCATGAGCGTTCTCTGCCGTTGCCATGGTGAAGACGCAAGCTATCTGGTGGCGTAAGCACTGTCGTCAGTTTTAGCGGGGATTTCGCTCTTTCGCTCCCGAACTCCTGTTAAGGTAAGTTGTATGACTATACGTCTGCTATATGTTTTGTTTAATATGATAAATTACTTGCATGGTTTAAATATTAGGGCCAAGATTAAATCCCCACCAGTGATTCACCATTGGTCAGCATAAATTAAAAAGTGAAACTCTTGAAATTAACGTGACCTTGCTAGCTGGATGGCTAGCGTTCATTATAAACTAACACAATACAGCATTATCGTTATATCCAATGAATTGTAGCGTTAAGCATTAAGCAGATGTCATAATTATGACTATAATAATGTGTGAGTAAATGAATTGTGTGAGCTCATCTAGAGTTGTCATTTCATCTGTCACTGTAAATGACTTTTAAAGTGAACTGTTTTGGGTTTTACTTTGCTCTGTGTTAAGTTGTGTAGAAAACAAGTAAGGTGCTGTCTTTGAACAATTTATTATGCTCTCATGGTGCTTTCCAGGTCTTATACCGACAAAAAGTCCGCCATAGAGATAAAGAAAAACCCGCTAAAATAAGTAACAACAAAACCCTCCCTACTTCTGGTCTTCCGTGCGGTCCTTCAAAATAAATGTCTGCTTCAGAGTAAAACATACCGTAGCTAGGGATGAACGATTAACGGTTTAAAGGTAAAGCATGGTAGAATTCCTGACAGTTGATATTAGGCTACCGTTTCAAAACTTAACTTCACTCACTTAACTGTTTGATTTGACACTTTCACAGTAAATTTGTCCAGAATCAACCAGAGTTAATAACACCCTCCCAGGCACAGGTGTAGTGTGAGTTAATGTTAATGCATATCTGATATGGTTTTCTTATCATAAGGTATTGGCTATATTAATATTATATTTTTTTGCAAGCCAAAAGTGCACATTGCTGCTAACTTAGTTTGTGATTGATGGTTGACAGTTTTTTTCTTTTCTCCCTGCAGCTCCTTTATAGTCAACCCCCATCACACCTTCTTGTCATCATTTTGAATACCCAAAGGCACTTTTAAGAGCCACATCCATCTATCTATCTATCTATCTATCTATCTATCTATCTATCTGCCTGTCTATCTGCCTGTCTGTCTGCCTGTCTGTCTGTCAGTCTGCCTGTCTGGGTCCGTCTGTCGGTCTGTCTGTCAGTCTGTCTGTCTGGGTCAATCTGTTTGTGTTGCAATGGCCACGAGACGTACCATTGACCGCCAGCATCCCAGCTACAAAGAGGGGAAACGTATGGCGCTTGACATGAAACAAGACCACATTCTAGCTGAAGCCAAGGTTAGTGTTTTCATATCACTCAATCTCATTAATTTTGTACTTGAACAAATAGATGGGTGGAAAATTACTGTAATGGAATACCTGGATGATCTAAGTGACTTTGGGTTCATTATTGTAGCATGGGTGGCTGGAGCTTCAGTCGCAAAGAGTTCAGCTTGCCAAAAATTAATAAAGTCTGCATTGAAACCTATGGGAAAGATATCAATACTATGAATAGATTCAGAAATTGCGGGCAAAGACACACATTTGATGACCACATTGTTGGTGTATTAGTGTGACAGGTCAGGAAAAACCTAAAGATCAACTCTTCCTCAGGTGACTGAGAATGTTAATGCAGGATGAGATCAGACATTGTCAGAACCAAGAGTCTTACTTGAACTATAGAGAGAGGGATATTATGGTAGAGTTGGCCATTGCATGAACTCCTCATTACAAAGACAAATAAATGTACAGGGCACAAGGGCTCACTGAATGGTTTGACAAGGATGAAAATCATATCCTGTGGACTTTGAACTCATTACATCTCTATCCAGTTCAACAGAGATTCTGGGCTATCCACCACCACCATCAAAACACCAAATTAGGGAACATGTTCTGGAAGAATTGAGCTCCATCCCTCCAGTAGTTTTCCATAGACTTGGAGAATCTATGCATAGGCTCATTTAAGCTGTTAAACACCTAACTAAAACACTAGGTTGCATTTTCGGTTTTCATTTGTCACCTGTCTCGGTTTCAGTACCTTTAATTATTGAAATTTCACATCAACACACAGAGAGCAGTTGAGGAGAGGAAACGGGCACGTTCTGGTGGAGAACCTCCATGTAGCTCCAACAGTGACTGCGCCAGACGAGGCAAGCCAAGGGGGAGGCGTGGAGGGCGACGCAAAGCCTCAGCTACAGGTTCTTATCTGAATTATTTGACATTTTTAATGGAATTTAATGCGTAAATATTAGATCAGTTTGTAGCATGAAAAAATATTTATTAATGTTAATTATTCTTCAATGTACTCCTTACAGTCACATTCCCCCCAGCTGAGTGCTCCCTGTCATCCAATGTGGACGTTCCACTTACTGCACCCTCAGCACAACTAAATCCTCAAGAGGCATTTGGTAAATCACACTGATGAATTTAAGTTTAAATCTAAAATTTAAAGGTATCACTGAGAGAAAAAAGCCCTTTGTTTTCTTGGTCCATGTACTTTTACTGTCAGTTATGTCAAAGTACAAATTTTGGCCAGTTCGATAATGAACTCTGAATCCATTATAACCAAAGTTTATATTTTCTTTACAGAAAAGTTCATGGATAGGCTTTCATCTCTAAATGCCTCAAGTCCTTCTGCCGAGCCTCAAAGAAGCTCTGCATTGTCATGGACTTTTCGGCAGCAGAAAGCCTCAGAGCGCTGGAAAGAAGCCCGACCATACCACCTACAATGCCTCATTGAAAAGGAGGCTGTTGGTCATCCCTTGTGTTGCCTCTGCCACAAGCCTGCTGTTATTAGGTTGGATCACATTAATCTTAAACTTTATTTACCCAGGGTAGGCTTGCTGAGCATTACAGTAATTCTCAGTGCCCTGCTATATAGGCTAACATGCATGTCTTTTGGGATGGGAGAAAAATTGGATACCCAGAGGAAACCTACATGAATGTGAAAAGTACATCTAGGTCCTTCTTATCAAATCGATTATCTAACTTAATTTAGAATACTGTAGCTTACTGTAACTTGAGTGTATTGTAGTTTATGAGTTATTCACATGAAAAGTTGATTATATTGATTTTGTATTTCATCCCTAGGTGCAGAGAGTGTCTCCCTGAAGAGTGGTTCTGTGGGGACTGCGATGTACTGCATCACAAAAAACAGCCACTCCACAACAGGGAATGTCTGATACGTGGGTTTTTTGAACCCATTCCTCCAACCACACATGTCATTAGAGGGGAGGGTGGATATTACACTCAGGAGCAAGGTATATTCTCAACAAAGCTTTTATTTTGCTGTCCACATGTGTCTGCAGCTTTTTACAGATAATATGAATGAATGGTCTTCTTTCTTTTTGCCAGCTTGCATCTTGCCAACTGTGAGAGTGTCAAACTGCGTCTGTGACGGCACAACCTTCACTGTGTTACCAGGCAAACCAGTGATTTTAATTACCATCAATGGTAAAAACAATTCACTATTTAAATTTCTATTTCAAGATGATTTCCAGAAATCAAATCACATATCAAGATATTGGTGGTGTTTTAAAATGACTATTACGCATGTTTTTTTCTTTCTTGTTCTAAGGGCGTTATGACTTGCATCAGCCACTGTATGTATGTCAGACGTGCCAGCAGCAGTGGACCCCTGACATGAAGGACCTCCTTGGGAGTGGATATTGGCCAGCCTCTGTCAATACTTCCACGCTGTACACGTTGGACCTCTTGAGCTCCTTTCAGGAACTCAAAGTCATCTCTCCGGGATTCTCCAGACAGGCCTTTGCAAAGCTGCTGGAGCATCGCACCAAGTGTGGAGGACGAGTTAGTATTGTTGTTCTTGGCCATATCACAACATTTCTGTACATAAGCAGACAACATCACAAAGATGGTTTTATTCTATGTATCTTCCAGTCTGGACATATCAACGGCGACACTCTGCAGCGCAGCTTCTTGGAGTTTTCATATGCTTCGTTTGAAAAAGACCAACTCTGCTGTGGTGCTGTTTTTACCTGCCCAGCCTGCACACCAGAAATGTTGGCTGTTTCAGCAGATGGAAACAGAAAATTATATCGCTTTCGCCGAAATGGAAGGTGCTCTTTGTTCCAGTGTTATTATTGATTGATTGATTGATTGATTGATTTAGTTCTATATTTAATAAATTGATTTCCAATTTGTCTTACACAGTTCTGGTGACCATGCCTTTTTTGAGGGAATATTTGTGGCTGAAGACAGTGCAGTGTCTGGATTTGTGGACATAATCCAGAAAGCTGTGAAAAATGCAAGTTTGAATCTTAATTTGACAAAATTCTTCTGTTACTAAAATAACCATATATATCCAACATAGATTTCCTCCCCAACTGCAACTTCTGCCTACCAACTACAAAATCGAATTGAGTGAATACATGGCATATACAGTGTTTTATGATACCATTGATTTTATTTGATTTATTTTTGTTTACGTGTGTCATAGACACAGGGAAGAGGCATGTGTGGGGACCCCAGTGGACAGCAGCAGGGGCTTCGGGGGCATTGGATGAGAGGGCATGGAGGTTGCTGTGTGCCGCCATGGTTTCCTTCTGAAGCCCTTAATATGTACAGGGGAAACCCTTTAATGCCTGACCACCATGAAACCTTTCCTCAGTGTCATGCATGCTCGAGCTCATGCTACTAAGTGTGAGGTATGTTTATTATTTTTTTACCATATGTAAATTGTAAAGTTTAATAATATTAAATTGAAGTTAATGGGTAAACTATACTATGTATACTTTTTGTGTTACCTTCCACTTAACCTTTACTAACAGATTAAATGGAGTGGTAGGAACCAGGAAGGAGCAGGGACAACCGCCGGTGAAGAGGTGGAACAAGTGAACAGCTACCTCTCTCGTTGTGCCCTTACGACAAAATATATGTCGAAAGCAGGTGATCAGAGTGTTTTCCATATTTTTGCATACTTTTTTAAGACTGCATGCCATCAACTCATACTTTGCCTTCAATAGCCCGGGTGGACATGCTTACATTGCATGCAATGGGGTGGAACCACAAGAAAAGTGATTCCTTACATCAGGCACTTTCCACACGATATGTGAAGGTAGGTCTAATGGTTTTATTTTGTCCTTTGTTGTTATCATTTGAGCTGTTGTTAATCATACAGACTTTATCCTGATTACTGTGTAACACTGTTTATCAGACTTGTCAGAGGCTCCTGGATGAGACTGCAAAGCTAGCAGAGCAAAAAACACAGCTACATTGCTCAGATGAAATGGTGTCACAGTGGATTTCAGATGTGAAGGAATGGGCAGCTGGTGGTAAGCATGACCAGATAACAGAAAATAACACAATACTTTTCCACTACTATTTGAATCTTCAGGTTTGATATTAAAGATCAGCCAACGATAGTTAAAGTGATCTCTAGGGATTACAAGAGGTGGTGACCTCACCTGCCACCAAGACCAGCAAACTGTGTGACATGTTGGCTTTATTGTATATTCCAGTTTCTCTGTAGGAAGTACACATACCAAATTGTACAATCAAGTCAGGTTAGAAGGGGTTTATGTGTAACATGAATTCAAACATCGAAACTGTTATGTGTTGTTTTATTGTGAATTTTACTATTATTTCTACAGAGACACGAGATACATCTGACAACCTGCAAGGCACCACACACACAGGGCTTCAGCGGTCCATTGAGGGGCTCTACCTCAGTGTGAGGCAGCGGAAGCAAAACCTGTACCGTCAGAATGGTATTACTACTGTATATAATACAATAGGTTAACTCTCCACAAACAAATACATGGAATTAGTACACAATGTAAAAGCAATAAGTAAGCCAATTACAGCTCTATCATTACATTCTCTTCTGTTTGATTGTAACTGATTATTATCTAGATTGTCAGTATTACATACTTCAGTCACTGCAGCTTCACTTTCACTTTTTGAGTGCAATGCATTTTTTTTCTTGTCAAACAGTTCTGTCAAGAGCCTTTACCTGTCTACTTCATGTTATTCTAGACAGCAACAAGCTTCGCCACCGGCTTCGGAGGAAGCTGGCAGAAGACAAGAAGCTCCTTCTTCAGGAGATACAAAAGTACAACGAACTTGACTCTGCAGCAAATATTGATGCAGCTGTGGTGGAGCACTCACTGAGTGGAGAGAGCACTGTGTCCCCAATATGGCCTTGGGAGGTTCATGACAGCGGTATGTCAGTTTTCAGAAGATTTTTGTTCAGCTGTATACAGTATACTGAAATAAGTGTGCAAAACATATTGAGTGGTTTAATATTCATGTAGTTTCTATGTGTATTTTAAGGTTTCTTATTTTGTATAAAATTGATAAAAAGAACAATTGTTGTTGCTAAATATTTGTTATGTTTATGCAACATGTATTCATAAAACTGTCATTGATTTTTTAGCAAACATTGGAACCAAGAAGCAGCTTCATGACCAAGTGATGACAACAAAGCGACTGCAGGAGGAAAAAAACATTCTGGTGATGGAGATGGCACAACACTGCACATGGTTGCAGAACATGTCATTGGTTCTCAAAAACAAGGTGGCTGAGGAGGGTAAGTTGACGCAAAACATAGCTAAACAAAACATCCATGACCAACTTACACTCACATATTCACATATGGTATGTAGAGACAGGAGAGAGCTTTCTACTCTATTGAAGTTACAGTATGTGGTCTCATGAAGCAATCTTACTATGTAGAATGTCTGTAATGTAATCTCATGTATATTTTGAGGTGGAGACAAAGGAAATGAAGGACTTTGCAGTCTCTTGAGGAGAAGAAACTCAGAGGTGTCAGAGAGGTTGCAAGTGGTCCTCCAACAATACAAGACTGCTTTAGGTCCTGAGGCCTCTGCCATTCTACATATTGAAGAGGAAGATCAAAGTGTCCACAGCAGTCCAGACACCAGTGAGGATGAAGAGGAAAACATAACTTAGGTAAAGTGTGTGCGTGTGTGCGTGCACATTCACATATCTAGACAGATTAGTGTTACTCTTTAATGATTATTTATGTATTTATTTATGCTTGTCCATTCTAAAACAGCTCAACTTTAGCTTTTGATCTTACCTCTTGTTTTTTTCCCCCAGATTGAAGCTGCACTGAGGATTGTGGCGAAGGAAATGGACTTGCCCTTTATCTTTGTCTTATTAGTACTATTAAGAATAATAATAAGAATAACAAGAACTTAATTTATCCCCAAAGGGAAAGTGCCTATCTGGAACAGACCAATTGAAAAAAAAATAAGGAAGAGTTATTACATTGCTGTAGCGTGTGAACATTCATTGGGGCCACACTTGACAGCTCTCCGCACAGTTACATAGCATTGTGGTGAATGTTCAGACCACTGTTTCATCTCTCCCCTTCCAGTTTCACAGATTATCAATCTTGGTGATGGAGGCACTAGCATTTTAGTGTGTTGTTATTTAGTTAATGTATGTAAAAGATGACTTCCTCAAATGTCTTGTTTTGTTCGGAATTCAAAGATACTCAGTTGACAGTCATAGAAGTATAAAGAAATCAGAAAATATTAAATTTCAGAAACTGGAATCAGATAATTTTGAATTTTTTTATTTTCAAAAAATGACTCTAAATGATTAATCGTTCATCCAAACAGTTGGTTATTAATTTAAATCAAATTGTTGCAGCTCCAACATGGCATGTAAAATGTAAACCAAGGAGAAAGTCAATTTTGATTGATAGGGTGGCGTGACTAAGTACGTATTGTTGCTTACTCATTCAGTACTAAATCACCATTTAGTTGCAACATAGAAGAAAAAAATATTACCTGATCAAAAACAAATTAATTTTAGCCAATTTGGGTCTTTTTTTTAAATGCCTGGGATCACCTGAGTTTTGTGACATCAAAGTGGGGTCATGAGCCAAAAGTGTTTGATTTTAACATGGTTTTATTATGAGAATTTTAATTTACACAGACATATAATATGTATGTAATATGTATTAGACTGTGTGTAACAAATAGACAGTTGTATATTTTCTTATTATATGTTTTTTGGTAAGTTAATATAGGTGACATACAGTATAACTTGATTACATGTTCTGTTGTCAGTGCTTATGTAAATCTAACCCCACAGTCCATTTTTAAGAAATACAGTCCAATTGTTTGTTGGACAGATATGCATTTGGTGTATTTTCTCCAGTATTGTTGCAAAAGATGAATAAATTATTGCCAAAAATGACTATTTTTGGTTTTACTTTTCCATCATGTTTAGAAACATCATGTGACAGTTTTATGTTTTATAAAAAAGATAGCCTACTAGCAAGAGAAAATATGGGAAACAAACATAAATAATGCATAATTATATTTGGAATTTAGTTAAATTTAACATCACAATACATTATTATTTAAGTGGATTACATTAATGAACTGATCTCCTTGTGATATATTTCACCCAAATCATCTATATACAGTATAATGTAGCCTATGTTTTACTTGTCGTAGATTTTTGATTTAGTAAAGATACATTTTCATAAACTTAATTACAACCCTCCTCTTCGTGGAAGAACTACAAGTATCCCTTCTAATTTGTATGCTTCCTAACAATTTCAAAGGAACAATTGTAATGGGCATTGTATTTTTAAATACATTGATGTATTCCCCATGATTAGAAGTTTGCAGTATTAAACTGGATGGAGGGAGTTGGGAAACACATTACAATGTTATAAATATATAAATGTAGTATTGTTCACTCTATTATATTGGGTTATATATATTATATATATATTCAAGTTGGGGTTGACTGACGTCTTGAAAACCTTGGGGTGTGTTCACTAGCTAGTAAGGCTATTGCTAGTTATCTGCGACTGCTATCGTTTATTAATCCATCCTACTGCAGGTATATTGAACTAAATGGTCTTGTTTGGAAGCCAAACCATATTAAAACTAATTATAAACCACATTAACACTTTATAGCGAGAAAATAGATCGAAGGATGAGGTCTGAAAGATATGTTTTGAAACGTTGCTTAATACGTTACGCCATTGAACACACCCCTTTCTGTTGGCGAGATAGAGCAGCAGGAAAAACGTAAAAATAGCACTAATAAATGTATATATTTATCTTTTTCATCACATATATCTACTCACAATATAAATATAAACGTTATGGTCATACTTTGCCTGTTAAGAATTTGAGCGGATATATGATTTCTGAACCCTAATGTCAACATCTTAACCCTAAACCGGAAGGAGGATAACAGAACTACAATTTGTGCCGAGTGCAGTACACATCATTGTGCTGCGTCATAGCTTTTGTAGTTCTAATGAATTATCTCTATTATGTAAAACTGTGAACACAAACTTTGCAAGCTTATTATATGTTTTTAAGGGTGGGAACCACGCCTCTTTGGTCTGATTTTAACTTTTTTATCGGTAAGAGGCTGAAATCGTGTTTTTTATAGGTTTTGACCCTACTCAGTGGCGCCCCCTATTGGTCTACTGCCGGGTATGATAGTAGAGGTGCAGAGCTTTCCAAAACTGTTGACCCTATGTCTGTAGCATATTTTGTTGTTGAACTATAAGCCTACAAAATTGTCACAGGTACAAGGTTCAAAGGGCACACCTGAGGAGCAGGAACCGCCCACAAATCTCATATTGACATATGTTGCTCCCTAGGTCAAGACCTTTCCAACGATGTCTTCACTGTTGTCCTACGACAAAGTTTGATTTTCTTGTTGGTAGACATCATGGCTGTTTGACGTATACATTCAGAGAACTCTTTAAGGGCCAAGCTGGAAACAATCAGTCAAAATCTTTTAACGGATATTTTGTGGCCAGATTTAGTTAAGATATCGATTATAGGATTATACACAGTCATACTTTTCAATGTGGACCAGTTCCGAGTTTATTTTCACCTTAAACTACTGATTGTTTCACCTTTGACATTTTCCCATTAACTTAATATGGCGGTTTATAGACCCTTTAACCCCTTCCCCAGTCTGACAGGATCATCCTGGATGATCCAATTTATAATATATTGTAGTGCTAATACATTTCTGTGTACAGTTTAAGTTTTGCAAACATATCTTATAAAATAACCATCATAGGACCTTTTTATCCAAAAAGTCAGCATAGGCCTAACATGCTGTGCGGAGGGCGATACATATACAGTACTTCATAGAACACTGTAACTTTAACCTCTCCTCCGGATGACACAGTCCTAAAACCTGTTTGTATAGTTTCACTTATAGATATATCTCTAAACATGAACCCGATTACAGCTGAAGCTAAAAAATGACTGAATCTCAATGGTTACGTTCTTAAAATCAAAGGTGTACTTTGTCCTAATATTTCACAATATCACTACATTTTTCTGTTCACCTTCCTTTTCTCCAGGCTTGGAGTCATGTGTTGTATTCAGCCTGAGAAACGCTTTCTTGTCCAGAAGCCTTTCTTCTTTTCTTTTTGTGTCAGTGTTGCTTTGGTTGTGTTGGGGAGGTCAGATCACTGTAGATAGTTGCTCTGACCTTTCTCAGGCCAGGGAACAGTCAATCATGCTACCATATAAATGTATCCTAACCTCCAAATACTGATGGACAAATCAAGATGGGCTTATTGAGGCAAATGCTCATTAAGTAAACTGAGGGCAGTCAGACAATTTCTGTTATGTATTAGGAAAATAATTATTATTATTGGATTAAAAGCTACTAAATTTACAACTCGGTAGAGCAGTATTTACTGTATATTCCGTCAATACACAGGTACACATTTCAGAAATGCTGATACTTACATTTAGTTCTCTGTATAAAGACATTGGCAAACCTGTCTTTATACTAGTGTACCACTGCTGTGGATGAAACTAGTGGCCCTTTGCATGTAGCAATGACATAATCATTGGCAACATTCACATAATGTGTTATATAAAAAAATTACTTATATTTTTAAAAAGCTAAAACAAATAATAATCTACCACAAATATGTAGTCCACTTGATGATGTATACAAAATGTAAACATATACTGTAGTACAGTATACGGTATACTGTCTGGGTGAAAGAAATAACGGATGTTGATTCATTAAAGTAATCCACTTAAGCAAGTGAAATAATGCGATGTGATTGCAAGTAAATAATAAAAGATAAATAAAGTATAATCATGCTGTATTTATGGTTATTTTCGTCATCTTCTTTAGCTATTACCTTTCATCAACTAACACTATCACATTGTGTTTTTGAATAAGATGATGCATGGAGAAGTAAAACCAAAAATGTTCATCTTTGACAATTTATTTATCTTTCATAACAACAAAAAAACACAACAATCAAATAATATGTCACTTATATTAGCAAACAATATAAAGTACAAAAAAACTAAAAACTATGAATTCATTCATTGAAGAAAATTCTTCGGTTGCCAGGAATGGGCCCACTCCTTACCACTGAAAACAGAAGGGATTTTTGTCTGTTACTGGTACTTGTTGAGTCTTTCCAAGGAACTTAAACCTTTAAACATGAATCAAGCACACATCAACACAACACAATCAAAACAAAATCTTAAACACACTCTGAAGTAAATCAATTATGCATAAACATATGGGTCGCTTTAACTGAAGCAACAGTGAAAAAAATTAGACTACTGGTGGTAGGATATGTTTGTTCTCCAACATGGGACTAGAAGAAGCAGAAAAAAAGCTGAATATATACCATACTGGACAGGGCTTCCAGTCAACCAATATTTCTTCTTTGCCCTATAAAGAGAAAAAAATAATTAATTCCATTCTTAGGATTAAGCTATTATTTTTAGCAGTAATCATCGATTGTCATTGATACAGTGGGATGTAGTTGATATTTAGAGTGTTTTTAAATTCATTTTTCAGTACAAAATATGTTTTAAAGGACTCATCACCTGGTGTTTTAACATATCTTGTCTCTTTTTGATTGTCTTAAAATGATTTTTTAAAAAGAATTTGCCAAATAAATTATAAACATTGAGCTTGTTGTGTCCCCCTGAGAGCAAGAGGTTTTCATTCTGCTCCTGAGCTGACGTCAGCTGAGGAGCAGAATGAAAACCTCTTGTTTTGGGTGCGCACCCTTGTGGTTTCAACAAAGAGGCCAAACGAAAAAACAGAACCACTTTCAAACTCCAAATTTTCAGGCAAGTTTCAACTGAGTGAGTGAATGTGTTTTCCAGGTTATGACTCCTTTAATCTAACTCACAAGGAATTTTCTCAGTTCTAATAATCATAACCCTCAATGAATTATTTTATTGCTGTCTTACATTTCTCAATCTTTCTTTTACAACTCGTCTGATGGGGAAAGCCTCTAGACGAGAGTGGTAGGAGCAGTCTGTGAACATCACAAACATGTACATATATTTTTAGATTAGTAACAAAATAATACAACCCTGATGACTTAAAGCAGAAATAAGTGATATATTTGTGTTAAGTAGTGTTAAATAATTCTATAGTCCTACAGTCATCAGTGATTTAGAGTGTTTGGTCATTGACGTGGGTCTCCCAGTCCCTGTGCTCTGCAGTAAGTGGAAAAGAAATGTGTGGAGTTCTCCCTACTGATTGGCTGAAAGAGGGAACAGAACACCAGAAAATGTCTTTTCTGTTTACTGCAGAGTGGAGGACCCCATGTTAATGACAAAACACCCTAAACCACTGATGGCTGTCACAATGTAGAGCTATGTAAGGCTTACATAATTCTTTTTTGTTTTTTTGCTAAATGCAACCACTTACAGCACCTTTAAGTTGCAATCAGACTTTGGTCTAATGACACACGAGGCCTGTTGGAATTTTATAGGTTGTCTGTTATGAAATAATATAATGATGATTAAAAACATGAAACATTTAAACTTACTTATCTGTGTCTTTTTCCTCACAGGCAGATGCTTTGGTGCCTCTGTGGAATAGAAGATTACAGTCCAGTCATATGTCCACACCAAAAAACAAATCACAAAAATACTATCTCACATATTACACAATTCTTAATTCTTTCTCATTCTTTTTGATTAATTAATTCCCATGAGAGAATCAGCTTGACAAATGAGCTTTGGTTATAAATAGTAATCAGAATACTAATATTCTAATAATTCAATTCATTAAAATATTATAACTACCCTAAAAACAATATTTACGTACCTGACGTTTTCTTTTTTCGTCTTGGATTAAGCACTGTGCCTATATCTGACCCTGTGGAGACAGATATAGGTTTGGAGAGGGAAATTAGTCATATACCAAATTAAGCTTTAACTAATCAATTCAAAGACTAGAGCATCACACCACAACTCAAATGCAGCAGTTTAAGTAGGTAAATTAGTAGGTGTCCATACTGTATTTGGTTATCCCAATTTGTTTCAACAAGTGCTGATCCTTCGTTTCTGGCTTGGTCAGGGAATGCAAGGGGTGAGTAAATGGGTCAAAACAGACAGGGCTGAGTATACCAGATATACAGATTTTCAGTACTCTACCCACCTCTGCTCTGCACCTCAGCAGCCTGCAAGTCTTTGGGGTTCTCCACCTCCTCAGCAGTCTGCAAGTCTTTGGGGTTCTCCACCTCCTCAGCATTCTGCACAGGGCTTAGGCTTAGGGCTCGCTCTGCATGAGCCCTGATCAAATCAGAGCTGTAGGCTGCAGCAAATAAGAGAAAAGGCACTTGTAATGCGAACACTGACAATGTTGAACATTTTATTTTATATGTAAAATAATAGTTCAATGAAAATTCAGTCATTATCTACTCAACCTCAAGCTGGTGAGAAATACAGTGTAGTTTTTTAATACACAAAATCCTTCTGGACTTTTACAGGAAAACAGCTCGCAGCCTTTTTCCAAACAACAGAAGTTGACAGAGACCAGCACGGTTGCAGCACAGCTACCTTTCAGAGCTAGCTTAGAGATGCAGTCACATGCGTGTGTGAGGAACGCACACATGACCGTAGCTCTAAGCTAGCTCTTCGCTAGAAACACAACGTAAATTATGTTTTTTCAAGTCAGCTCTGCATGTGGCAACTTCAGGAGCCATTTTAACACTGGTCTCTATAGACTTCTGTTGTCTGGAAAAATGCTACAATCTGTTTTCCTGTGAAACTCCAGCAGTGTTGAGTGGATTAAAAAATACACCGGACTTCTCATTGACACAAGGGTGAGTAGATAATGACAAAATTTTCATTTAAAGTGAACTATTCCTTTAAACTGAAAACATAAAATGACTACAAATAAGTAATTCAGGTAAAAAAAACAGCTCTTGGCCTGCAGCCTCTCAGTCAAAGCAGTAAAGTAAGCTAATTTGCTTCGAGAATGGATGATAATAGTGAGGAGAAGAGCAGCAGCATGTGGAAGTATTTTGAGTTTTACACAGTGGATAGCAAAGTCACGGCAAACTCTACTTTGCAAAAAACAGCTATCCTACCATTTATTTTTAGATTTGTTTGAACTAGATTTTTTTTTTAAAGTGACAGCACTAGTACAGGACAGGTAAGAGGAAAATTATGTATTTTTGATCTACAACTAACGGGTATTTGATTTAACAGCAGACACTGTTTATATTGTAGAACATAACATGAAAGTGACCTAAAACTCTATGTGTAAAAAGTTGTGCAAGGTAATCCATGGGTCCAACACTTTCCGCATTTACAATGTATTGTAACGCTGGAAATCTGCCTTAGCTACCTTGTCCCTCTGTGCTGCTTGCCTGCTCCTGGCTTTTGACCTCCAAGGGGTCACACGGTGTGAGGGTTAGTGTGATCACCTGATCATCATCTGCAGGAATTTCCTGACTCCAACCTATGCAAGTTAAACAAGAGTTCTGTTATGCTTACTTAGAACAAAGAGGTCAACCAAGAGCTTCAACTGTGCCCAATTTAATCTCTGAGAATTGTGTAGTCCTATTCTTCCCAACTTGGTTTGTGGTCACTTTAGATTACAGGAGGATTATTGATAGTTTACTGTCTTTTATAGTAGATATCTGTAAATCTGTGTTTGATTTTATGTGACTATAATAAATAAATAGAGTACACTGTTTATACAGGAAAAAAACACAGAGTAATCCTATTATCTATTCAAAGAATGACACACTGGACTGTGTGTGCTAAAAAACTGAGTCGTAATGTACGCCATCAACATTTAATGGTTTTCTTTTGGTTTGTGCTATTTTTTTCTATTTTTCTTTATGGTCCATCTGCATCTTAAGATCATAATTTGAGAGTATATTGATATTCATATTAACTTGTAGTTTGCAAAATCTTACAAAATGGTTTTTCAAACCAAACACTAGTTGTGAACTGTAAATTCAAAATACAGTGCGTCCATCTCACCTTCACAAATAGACTCATAAAATGAGCCCATCTTCTGGAGTGAGTTCTGGGCCTGCAGAGTAAGTTCGCAACGAGGCGTTAAAACTTCACAATTCGTTGCTCCCGTCTTTGTCTCCTTGCCAAGAAGGAGAACCGGCTTGTAGCCCATGGCATGGAGTTTCTCAAGCTGCAACGACAAAATGATGTATTTGCTGGTTAAAAAATGTAAAAGCAACAGCAAAAATCATTAAGTATATTACTGTAATTATTAAATATAAAAATACATCAAAAATATAACATTATTGATGACAGTCATTCATGATGGCCTTATCATCATGGTGAGTTTAGCTGGATACAGGAAAGGCTCAAACAGTAGAAGCAGAAACTAACTCTTCTATATAGACAAACAGCAATGTATTATCTCATACACTCTCCTCCAAGCAGAACTTGTAAATCACTAAGTATGGATACAATCAAACTTTGTGGCACATTTATAGCACAGGTTTGGCATCTACATAGATAAAATGTTAACCTTTGTGATTCTGTGACTGAATGGGTCATATGTACATTGTTAAGTGCTTTGAGTAATATGAACAGGGTTCATATTACATAGCACCAGTCACCAGCAAAATTCTGGTAAAAAGTGAGTGGTATCAATCACCAGTAAAAAATATCAGTGGTAATCTATTGAGTGACTGGTAAATTAAAAACTAAATAAAATTTGAACATTAACTATCCATTGGCCGATGGACAAAAAAGTAAATTTTGAAATCTGAGTGAAGTTCTGACCTTGTAGTGGCACGCTCTCTTGGTCATAAATGGCATCACTTACTATAATTTATTTTCTAGATTATCTGGACATTTTAATGTTACATAAAAACGGTACATACTACATACCAGGACTATAGCTTCATCCTTAATGGATGCCAGGTTGTGGTTCTTTTTAAGGCCAACCACCCATTCCTCTCGCTTCTGGTCAAATTTTTTCAGTCTTTTCTTCAGTCGCTGCTTGGCAGGCTGCTCCATTTTACAATATGTGCATTTTTTTTGGGCACAAAATAAAATGGCCTCACAAAAGGGGCACTTCTTTTTGATCGACCCCCCTGGCATGATAAATGACTGACAGACAGAAAGGCAGACAGGCAAACAGACAGGCAGACTGACCTAGACAGACCGACAGACAGACTGACAGACAGACCGACAGACGGACCCAGACAGGCAGACTGACAGACAGACAGGCAGACAGACAGGCAGATAGACAGGCAGATAGATAGATAGATAGATAGATAGATAGATAGATAGATGGATGTGGCTCTTAAAAGTGCCTTTGGGTATTCAAAATGACGACAAGAAGGTGTGATGGGGGTTGACTATAAAGGAGCTGCAGGGAGAAAAGAAAAAAACTGTCAACCATCAATCACAAACTAAGTTAGCAGCAATGTGCACTTTTGGCTTGCAAAAAAATATAATATTAATATAGCCAATACCTTATGATAAGAAAACCATATCAGATATGCATTAACATTAACTCACACTACACCTGTGCCTGGGAGGGTGTTATTAACTCTGGTTGATTCTGGACAAATTTACTGTGAAAGTGTCAAATCAAACAGTTATCACGGTTTTAGTGATAGTTAAGTTTTGAAACGGTAGCCTAATATCAACTGTCAGGAATTCTACCATGCTTTACCTTTAAACCGTTAATCGTTCATCCCTAGCTACGGTATGTTTTACTCTGAAGCAGACATTTATTTTGAAGGACCGCACGGAAGACCAGAAGTAGGGAGGGTTTTGTTGTTACTTATTTTAGCGGGTTTTTCTTTATCTCTATGGCGGACTTTTGCCGGTATAAGACCTGGAAAGCACCATGAGAGCATAATAAATTGTTCAAAGACAGCACCTTACTTGTTTTCTACACAACTTAACACAGAGCAAAGTAAAACCCAAAACAGTTCACTTTAAAAGTCATTTACAGTGACAGATGAAATGACAACTCTAGATGAGCTCACACAATTCATTTACTCACACATTATTACAGTCATAATTATGACATCTGCTTAATGCTTAACGCTACAATTCATTGGATATAACGATAATGCTGTATTGTGTTAGTTTATAATGAACGCTAGCTATCCAGCTAGCAAGGTCACGTTAATTTCAAGAGTTTCACTTTTTAATTTATGCTGACCAATGGTGAATCACTGGTGGGGATTTAATCTTGGCCCTAATATTTAAACCATGCAAGTAATTTATCATATTAAACAAAACATATAGCAGACGTATAGTCATACAACTTACCTTAACAGGAGTTCGGGAGCGAAAGAGCGAAATCCCCGCTAAAACTGACGACAGTGCTTACGCCACCAGATAGCTTGCGTCTTCACCATGGCAACGGCAGAGAACGCTCATGGGTAACGTAGTCAGTAAGTCGCTGTCAACTTTTACAGATATCATTAAAAGTAAAGGGTGATGCTTTTGTAATTGAGACGAATGAATAGACCCAGCTGTCTGAATGATATTACTTTCTTATTTATTTATTCTGAGAGCCGCTTAGAATACAATGTGTTACAGAGCACGTTAACTGAGATGCGCTGTAAAAGCAAAACATGTTCATTTAAAAAGTAATTCCTGTTACCTTCGTTTTCATAGATTTGATCTTAATTCACATGTAGTAAAATGCCCAATATGATCACTCTAAACGCAGGCTACTGCCCAGCACAACCAGTTTATTGATATGAGCTACGGTTCATAAAAGATTTCATCCCACGCTTTTTGAAACAAGTTACCTATATCATCCCCTTTCCTTCTTTTATTTAAGGAGTTTTGTGGGGAGATTGACTATTTGGACCGTTGAATTACATTTATGAATATTGTGGGGACTAAGTACGCTTTTGTGGGCTAATATTGTTTGTATCGGCAAATACGCCGCTCTGGTTTCTTGCTTATATCCTGTCCAGTGACGGACACGATTTAATTTAATTACACTAAATTTGACTGATTTAAAACACTGTATAAGTCACTTATTTTGGTGATTCAAAGAGTGAACATTTGTTGTTTATTCTTGGGATAAAACTTTTTAAAATCTATATCGTCCTCAATGGAAATTCACTTTTCTCAGGTCAGAGTCACACATTCACATAGCCTACATATAAACAAAACAATAGATGGCTAGATAAAATAAACATTAAAACATACAATTCTAAAAAGAAGAGATTAAGCACCTGCCTTTCTGACCGTCGCGGTTTGCCAGCAGAGCAGCGCACCTGCATTAAATATATCCGTGAATTGTCACAATTGCTCAGAATCAAAGGTGAAAGTAGAAACGGGTGGCCAAAAGCTGTCATATTGTTAGTTATCACGGACAATTTTTTGGTTTTTGTGTTGAAAAATGATCAAAAAAAGAGAAAAATAAACAATAAATTATCTGTACGGAGCCCCTTAAGGGACATTAGGGAGAACGCTCCCAGACAGAACATGAGTTTGAAAGTCGTGCTTAGTGACACGAAAAATACTTCCAATTGAAATACATGAGTTTGAAAATCGTGCTTGGTGACACGAAAAAAGTGGAAATTTCGTGTCCCAGACCACGAACCAATAGATTAAAATACGTGACAGTATCACGTATTTTCATGAGACTGC